TGTGCGGGTGGTTTATCCTGCGCTCCCAGGGACCGAGGCAACAAGTTTGGTCCTCGGGCCTCGCAGGAGAGAGCTGGACCCTCGCGGGGGAAACGCCGCCATCTCCCCAACAACAAGTCATGACTGTAGTATTTACTCCCATCCCTCCATCTCCCCTCCCAGCTCGCGCCGATTTGTTGAGGGAAACCCACAGCAGGGTCTCCTTAAACAGCACACGAGGCATCATCCCACAGAGTAAACTTGGGGAAAAAAAAGTACACGACTGGAACAAACTCTGCATTCAAATCAGAGAAGCCAGGAGATCACTGTCCAATGGGCTGAAACATCTGGACAGTCCCCTCTCTTTGAGCAACTAAATTTTTGCTAAGCAGTTGCAATTGAAAAAAAAACAAAAAGGGTCTCCTTAAACAGCACACGAGGCATCATCCCACAGAGTAAACTTGGGGAAAAAAAAGTACACGACTGGAACAAACTCTGCATTCAAATCAGAGAAGCCAGGAGATCACTGTCCAATGGGCTGAAACATCTGGACAGTCCCCTCTCTTTGAGCAACTAAATTTTTGCTAAGCAGTTGCAATTGAAAAAAAAACAAAAAATGTTTCATAGACCCTGATAACAGGAAATAATCTCCCTTTGTAAAGAAAACACAGGCTAACCCTAAGAAACATCTGTCTTCCGCTGTCTCTGTAAGATAGCATACTGCCAAAGTATTTTTAAATTATCACAAAAGTGTTTCTGCTGATACTTCCAGAGGATGAACTTTGTTTTATGGTAAGCACATTGGAAACCCCAGCCTCCTGCCAGCTGTTCCTGCTGCCATGCAGCGCACAGAACTGCAGCAGCACCCCAACACCATCCTGCTCCCGGGCTGGTGTGAGTTATTGCCCTGGAAGGCTCCGACAGCCTTGCTCTCTCTGAGCACACACAGACGTACCACTGTACAATTGTACCAAGTTCCAGCTAAAAGTCTACCCAGCTGTCTCCATCTCAAGTATTTTTATCACCTGCTTCTTGCCCAACACGCAGCTCCTGCAACCCAGTTTTTCTGTTCTTTATGAAATACTCTTAATTATTCATATCCCATACCTCACAGAATGTCAGGGATTGGAAGGGACCTCAGTAGATCATCTAGTCCAACCCCCCTGCCAAAGCAGGTACATCCAGAGCAGGTTGCACAGGATCATGTCCAGGCAGACATCTCCAGAGAAGGAGACTCCACAACCTCTCTGGGCAGCCTGCTCCAGTGCTCTGTCACCCTCACAGTAAGGTTTTTCCTCATCTTCAGATGGAACTTCCTATGTTCCAGTTTGTGCTCGCTGCCCCTTGCCCTGTCACTGAGCGCCACTGAACAGAGTCTGGCCCCATCCTCTCGACACTTGCCCTTTAGGTACTTATAAGCATTGATAAGATCCACTCTCAGTCTTCTCGTGTCCAGGCTAAACAGGCCCAGGTCTCAGCCTTTCCTTGAAAGAGGAAAAAAAAGTCTGTGGTAGCTTCTCCCACTTCCAGATATGTACGTTACCTGTTATTACTCTAAGTATCTGATGGGAGTAAACTCGTACCCACTTACTAGTTGTTAACACCTTGCAGCTTTATCCATTTTTTCCCCTTGTCCTTTAAAGCAGATAATACAGATTTCTGTATTATTTTAAAATTTTACAGTTACTTGCAAAAGAATATTTTACTTTCAAAAGAATATCACATTTGCATTTTCCTCAGTACATCTTAAATTCTTAGTGATATCAGGAAGATATTCCTATATAAAAGCAGGAACAACTTCTCCTTCCACAGGTACCTAACAAATTAAAAGTGGAAAAAAAGTTACCAGGCAGGAACTACATATTAATTGGTTTTACTGTGCTTGAGTTACTATTACTTTACTCCTGCCTGAAAGTAGCGGTGACGTGCACAGAGGAAGGAGCCTCCTGTCCATACAGTCTCTTGCTCAATGCCTGTTTACTCTCCATCTCAAGAGCGGTACGCTGGGCGTTCATTCAAGCACACGGAGCAAGTACTCTGCAGTAGTTCACCTAGGAGTTAAAAACCAGTTCAAACCAACTACTTTAAATCTCTTTTCCAGGTAACCAGGTCTCTTGCCTAAGCCCCCTTTCATTCAGAAGTAATTTCACAGACATTAGATCCCAAGCATTCTTGAATAATTTATGAACTAGAGGGCAACAAATCTTTTTCATGAATATCTGTAACCTCCTACTAATAAATAATTAACTGTCTGCTCATTAACAGTATTAAGAATAAAAAAGCGTTAAATTTCACAATACAGGAATTTTGGCTTTAGTTTCATTGAGCCTCCTAAGATGTTTCAGGAATACTAAGATTTGATATAGCAAGTGTTAAAATATTAAGAAATTCCAACTAGTAACATTACCAATAAAATTTATTAAACATTATATTTACAACTATTTACATATCCTTCCATAGATTAATATTAAAATAGACAATATACAATTTATGAATTATCATTCAAAGGCATTTTGTTGGAAAATATAGGCTCTATTACGAGACCACCATATAAGAGCAAAAGGGGTTTTTTGCTTTACACAAAAATATTTTCAGTATAGTAAGTCATCGGTATGGCATTACAACTGCAGACTAATATGAAATATGATTTTGTAAATATTACAATTGTTTAGGTAGCAGTTATTGAAGTAAAGGAGTTAAGAGTTCTGTGAAGCATGCAATACAGTTCAGTTTCAATTCTTTTACAGTTATGGTGATGAAACAAGCAGCTAAATCAAACACATGCCATACAAAAAAGAACTGCCAACCAGGAACACACTACACTTAATAAAAACTACAGCTTTGGTCCAATAAAACATTAGACAAAAACAGTTTTACAGGTAAAATACCTATTTTATACAAGTCCAAACATTAATTACAAGACTATTTACATTTGCACAATATGTATAAAATAAATTATTTAAAAATGAAAACAATATTACATCTTTTTCCAAAAAGAAAACTGTACAGTAATTTACAAAATATAATAAGATTAATAGACTATTTTCCTCCAAGTCTTATGTTTTCTTCCACAGGCTTTTTCATCATTTTTCTGTGGGAGTTCAACTGTTACTGAAGTTTCATAATACAAAGCCTTATAGCAGATTTTAAGTATCATTTGTTTTTTGGTGGCTGTTTTAGTTATTAACAGCTTCCAGCGCTGTTAACTCACCATGTTTCGTTATCTTTTTCAGCAATAAGCTCTAAAGCTACAGGCAATTTTAAAATACAGGTAATGGCATTTACTGGGAAACTGACTTCAAATTTAGCATCCATCTTCTGTATTTGAACAAGAGCCCGTGCCACCCTTCTCTGAAGGAACACCTGAAATATTGAGAAAGGTAGCATTCCACAGAATTAAGTGCTCTGTCTTAAAAGAAAAATACCTTTGCGTATCACTGCACCTCAGTCTCTAGTTGTCCAAGGGAAAGGGTAAGCCAGAAGATGCTAATTGTCATATTGGCGTCAACTCAAAGTCATCATTAACATCAACAAGAGGAACATAAAACTCCTGAATTTCATAAATGCTGATAGATTTGTATGTAGCAGGATCAAGTTCTTGTAGTTTAAGCTGCCACTCCAGTCTCTGTACCGCATTTAAAGCCGCTGCTTCATGCTGCTGCCTCATCAAAAGGCACGTCTATTTTAAAATTGAGAAATAAGTTACTTCAATATTTGAAAAAATACTGCAACAATTTTTAAAAATAGAAAAAATACCTCAGAGCCCCTCTGGTAGTAGTAAGTAATTTCCCCACTATGTATTAGAAATTTGCAGGTTATTCCATTATACTATATAGCAACAAAGGTTAGGTTTTTTATACTGCTAGACCCTCATTTATGTTGCCCTTAAAATCTCTACAATAGCCTATGATACCGCATACAAATCTACTATTTATTCATTTCTTTGTCTCATTTTTGTAGTGGTTTAGAAGTTTGTTTTTAAAGGGGAAAGACAGCAAAGCATACCTTTAATTTGTCAAACTTTTCATCAACGTCCTGTAACCACGACATAAACTGCCTTGCATTAAATCGATCCCTCACTGATGTTTTGCTGTCATCAGCCTGCAAAAAAAAATATTTCAACTAAGTTATTTGATGATTTAGTCTTAAACATGCTTTAAAACATAGAACTTACTTTGTGGGACCTGCATAAACAATGCTTCAGATGGAAAAATAAACTCTGAGTCAAAGTATCAAGGTATATATGAGCACATATATGTTGACCATCACTTTCATTGTGAGCCAGCTGCTCACTAAACATGGGTATTTTCAGATTCCCTCAAGCTATTTACTGTACTCTTATTTCTGAAATTTTGAGTAGGAGGCTTAAAGATTTATGCCTTAAAGTCTTAATCAGTACAAGGCAGATCCTTCCACAAAATTGCTATCTCTAAAATTTCTAAATTTCTAAAAGTTTCTAAATTTCTAAAAAGCTCAGGGCATCTAAATTGGGGCAGGAAAAAAGCAAAGGACATTCTGAACTTCAGAACTAGAAATGATGATATTTGGACTGTTAACAGAAAAGAAAAAAAAAATCTAATTTTTACCCTATCAGTTAGATCTACTAAGTAAGTGATGATTTAAAAAACTGTCAATGTAAAGCTTAAAATGGGAGAAGAATACAGTCTCCATAAATCTGCTATTTCCTGCTAAATCACTTTGTTGTGCATAGCTCTAGCTCTTTAAAGATGAGAAAAAAGGTAATAACAGACTGAGGAAACACTGGGAGTGGCAGGAATTCTATAAGGGGCTCCAGGACTGAAGGTAGAATTACACATATGTTGGAAATGTAGGTGTTTCATTTTAAAATGCCCAACGTGCAATGCATCAACACTTTTATTACATCCATAACATCAAATTTCTTCCTTGCATTATGTGCTCCTCACAGTTGCTGGAACAGGTTCTGAATGCTGTTCCCACTTTGGTTAGTTAGCAGGCCTGTTCACAAAATACCAATGCCACATGGCTGCAGCAAACCTCCGAGTGCTAGTCCATAAAAGGTATGCAGATTATAAAGTGTACTGCTTATTTTATGTTTTAATCAGGAACTAATTACCAACATTTAACATGTAAATAACATGGCACATGTAAATATGGAGCTTGAAGTGATTTTGAAAAAGAACAATTTCATCTGGTAATGTTCAACATTTCATTGCTGGTCATCTGTTTTTTCATGGAACAGTTCTAATGACTGCTCTTATAGAGAGGGGAAAAGCATTATGCGAGTATCTCCACAAAACATTTCCAAATTTCACAAACCAATCTCATCACTGCATACACTACTGCATTCCGATTCTCTGGACTAGTGACAAGAATGATCTTGTATTCTGATAATTTGTTTGTTTATTTGTTTAAGCTTCCAAAATATTTGGAAGCTTAAATGTTCTGTTTATGTTCAGTTCATAAAAATGTTCTGTTTATGAATGAAATTTGATTTAATGAAAAACAGCAAAGTAATGTCCTCAGTTTATCCTTCTCATCATTTCTGGAGGTGAAAGCAAGCCAGACGTGGTATAAAACAGAAAACCAGAGTACATATCATCCTCTTGTTCCTGTACACCCAAATGAGACCCAATCAAAGTAACAATCAATAATGTGCAAAATCGTAATTCCACACAAATCAAGTATGGGAATACAATTCTCTTCAAACACTCCTTTTGAGTCAGGCTAGAAAGACCTTTTTGTCTGAAATACATCTCCTTACCTGAGCATCCAGAGGCACATTATAAACCTCGGCATCCAGCAGAACAGTGCAGGCACTGAATGGTAGTGTTTGATTAGCTAGTGTTCTTGCTGCTCGATAATGAACACGAAGAACTTCTTGTTCATTAGAAACAATAAGCTTTTCCTAATTGAATAAGAATCAACATATAAATATACATTTGGTAAATTAAGCATTTCAGTCTGATCCATAAAAATGTCTGTTCATTTAAAGATTTCTTTTTAGGGTTTACACTTTTGAACAGTCTTAGAAACGGGCTGGTGGAGGGAGGAGCAGTTGTTTATCTAGTCAAATCCAAAACTTCAATTTAATGTTGCAAAGAATGTTCCCAGAATGTCAGAACTGAAAACACCTTCTCCCCCACCACCACTGGGCTGAACATCATGCCCAGATTTTCCACTTAGTGCTACTGAGGCAAGTTCCAGTTAATGAAGAAGGTGAAAGGTATGTGGAACACAGAGTTGGGATATAGGTTTGTGAGTCTCACTGTATTAAGATTTTTGTCATGTTTGTCCTGCCAGGCACAATGGCCAAGCAAATTGAAGCAGAAATGTACTTTGCAGGATAATTTAAATAATTTTAAAATTTTTAAAGTTTATTTACTTTTTCTTTAAACCACACGCAGAAACTCCATAAATCCATAGCTGGACAAAGACTCTTTTCTGAATTGAGACAAGAAAATATAGCTCACTTGGCCAAACTCAGCTTATAGTTGTATAAAGCGTATTTGATTTGAAGAACAGTCTATTTGAGCAAAATAACTAAAAATATGCAGAATTTTATAAGACATAAAATAATGTATATGTGTGTTTACTTCTCTGCAACATAATGGCTCTAATTTTTATCAAAAGAAAAGAAGGTGGAACCTAAAAAGCTTGGAAAACAGAAAAGCAACATCTTTCCTTTGTTTGGTCACAACTAATTTATTTTCAGTCAGAATTTGAACCACATTTACATTCTTTGTGCTTGTTATTTTATACCTAGCTTTACACTGAAATACTGAATTCAAGTAAAACCCCTCCCTCAACTGGCGTGTTAAGCCACACTGAAATCCACTTAATCAAAAAATAAACCACACTGATTTTCAATGAGCCAGCTGGTTGCATAACCGTGTGGAATCCCTTACACTGATGTACGAAAGGGGTCCTGCCTGTGTCCACAAGCAATCTGGCTCACAATACTGGCAAGACATCTAAATCTAGGCTGCCAAGGAAAAACGTTTGGGTAACCTAAAAATAATGAACAGTCTTAAACCAGGGATATTTGCTCAATTTCTGAGAGAAATTAAGGAGTGAAGACTAACAGATACAGTTCTAATATAATTTTAGACAGTTTTTGCAAGCAGAGTATTGCAAATAATGTTTCAGTTTAGAGCCACACATGTACTACCAATACAGAATTTACTGTTGCTTCAATTCTTTAACTCGGTCGCTAGGGTTCTAAAGTCTACAACCGCCGTTAGCTTTCAAAACTAGAGTCTGCAGCTTCTTCCTTCTTCCCACTGTCCCTGGGAAAAATCTGGGCCACATCTTAGGGCAAATACAGGAAAAAGTTGCTATCTTACTGACTTGAGTATTCTCCTAACGGTTGTCCAAACAGTTTTTGGTTTTCTTTTTGTATTTTCAAGTTTGGATAGGAGGTGGATTATTTCTAAAGCATTGTTAAATTGAGCAAAATGTAGTCTATTCATTGAAAAAGAAAAAACTCTAAAGCTTAAAGATGGGAAATAAAGAAATAAATTACTTTAGTCTTACCCTTTCAATACTGTGCTGTAAACGCAATTTCATCCTTACAACCTCCTGCTGTTTGAACAGTTCCTTAAGTGGGTCCGACAGTGAAGGAGGTGGTGTAATCTATGGAAAAAGTTTTATAAATAAAATAGTGAATATGCACTTAACATATGTTTAACATTGCTTATATGATCTGAGCATTTATTTAAAAAAACCCCCAAAACATAAGCAAGGTATTTGTTAGGGAAAACATGAGTTTTGCATATTCCATTGATTACGTGACTCCAATCCATTTGCAATAAAAGGTTTGAAGTATTCTTTACCATAAAGTTAATAAACCCGACTGAAATAGCATTTCAAACTGTTTAGTGCTTTTAACTAGTCACTGTCAGCATGCTATAGCTGTTCTTTAAAAGGGCTATACATGAGAAGATATAGTAAAAATGCAACTTGCTTTCAATTTTAAGGACTCATTAAAGCACAACTGTTCATTTTGAGAAACTAAAAACTGCCTAGCCAAATACAAGAGCAAAGTAAGAAAGATAAAAATATTGCTAAAAAATAAGTCACTTGATATACCTATACAGTGTCACTGGCATTTTATATGGCACAAAAGAGAACCGACCATATTCCTAATCTTACAATCATGGAGAAGACAGTCAAGCACAAAAAAGCACACTAAAACCCCAGGCAGTGGCTTGGAAAAGTGTTTCCCCCCCATCAGTTATTCAAATAAGGGGTTGTTGTTTTTTTTTTGAAAGCTTATGAAAAAAAAAAAATCAAATAGACTTGAGTGAGCTATCAATACTGTCATTGATTGGTTACTCTAAATATAATGCATTTTTAGTCAATTATAGCAAACAACCAGTATTACTGTCCTGACTGATCTGTATGACAAACACTGAAAAGGCATCTGAAGCCCTCATGGCAACTACAGAAATCAGATATTTCTTGAGAAGAAACTAATAGACATCTTGGGAGTTTTAAGGCTCCACCCAAAGTTTACTTTTCTCCATACAAGTTCTGTCTGACAATTCAGCATGGTTTTTAACAATGGCTAGATGTAAGAGCATTGATCTTGCTTTGGAAATACTCATCAAAACTAAATTAAATAGTGCTTACTACTGCTGATACTTAGAAATCACAGGTGAAATACATACCTACAGGTATTATACTCTACCTTGTACCTAACACAAAGACATAGACATAAATAATTCTATTCAATACTATGGATCCTGCAGCTGTCAAAAACAATGAATATATTATGAAAACACAGACGCATTGCATTATTAGTATCAATCTTGCACCTATACACTCCAGGAAAAAAATGATTAATCTACCAAAAGTTATTCAATTATTGTTATCTTGGGAAATTATTTCAGAACAATTTTTTCCCCAACTGGAAGTCAGCCAATGTCTTTGGAATTAACGAACACACTGAGTAACTAATTGCAGTGCATTCCTTAAGGTATTATTTGGTATAAAATGACATTCAACTCCTTCATGTTTCAAACTACTAAGCAAGATACACTCCTGTCAATGAAAATGGTTTGGCTCCCAAACCAGTGAGTAACGTTTATGACATATGCCATTTTGTATAAGTCACCACTATTAAAAACAAACAAACAAACACAAGGAAAGACCTCAAACCGCAAACAGCTCCTGGGAAAATCTGTCTCAATCATAATGGGCTTCAGCATGTTGAAGTTCAGCGTGACATACACTGCTGTCCAGTTCTGCCTGGAAACTCTGCATTGAGGGCACAGCACAACAGTGCTGTCATGGTCTTTCAACAAAAAGAGACGAGATGCCTATAGTAACACCCGGCTTTAATCAATTTTACTGAAGCCAAAGGGCCTCTCAAAAATCTCAGTGCTGTTGTGAACAGAGAAGCCCGTGAGAGAAGAAACAAGGCAGATTTTATCTGTCTATAAATACGCTTTGAGTTTATGCAGCTAAATTAGTCAGAAATAAACATTTCAGAGCTGGCGAGCACCCGTATCACCTGAACAACTTCAAGCGTTAGTATAAAATGTAATTGCTTTGAGTTTGCACGCCGTTTGGTTTTGCCACAGAACTAACAGTCACCG